TTTGGGGGGCGGGGGAGGGGGCCACGAGGGGGGGTTGGGGGGGGGGGGAGCGACAGGAAGTTGGGGGCGAGGGTTGAGACCTGATTTGTACTGGGGATGGGGTGTGGGGTCGTTTTGGTTACCAACAACTACACGGGAGGTGTCGTTTACAACTGGGCTCTAGCAATTCCGGATGCGACAATGTGATATCAGTCGTTAACATCTGTCCACACCCCAATCACCGACCTTCTTTATTTTATTACTTTTTCACATGTACAACTACAATTATACAATTATTCTTGCAATTTTACACTACTTTATTTTACATAAAATATCTTCATTTTTTATTTTAATAATCATAATTCATGGCTTAAACTATAAACTAATCTAGGGTCTTTCAATTTAAATAAGCTTTAAAAATATATATAATTTCATAAGCATTAAAAAGGCAGGAAATTGTGTATAAAACAACTTTTTAATTAAAGTGTGATATTTGACAAAAATAAAATAAAAATAATTCTCAATGAAATAAAAAAAATATTATGAATTTCATAATATTTAATAAGTACTAAAAGAAATTAATTAATGACAAAATCACGTATCACAATCAAAAGTCTTTATTAATTAATTCAAATGATTCGATAGTTATACTTTTTAATTATAATTAAATATTTAATTTAATTTTTATTTAAATATAAAATTGTGATTAAAAGTCATATTTTAGCTCTGTAGAATTTATTATGATTAAAAAAAGTTATACTTTATCATCAAACTAAAAAATGGTTGACTCAATAAAAAAAATTATACCTCTTTTGTAAATAAAATATATATATATATATATATGCATATCACAGATAGTTAAAATGAAATAAGAGATGTCTCGGCTTTCTGACATGAGAAAAACTAAATTTTATAAACTAGGTATTTTGTTTGTCTGACATATTTAGAATTCTGGAATCTGGACTGATATGTTTTGCAATTTTATAATTTATCATCAATCATTTATCAATAACATATGTTTATTATAATTTTAAATATTCCCTGATTCATAATTCATGGGTGGGACTCTGTTACATAAACTGAAAAGTAATTATCCCTCAATCATAATTTTCGAAATGTATTTTTATCACAATTTTTATAACATTAAAATAATATTTAATTATTAAATATTTTGAATGTATATATCCATCCTGAATTATTAATTTTAAAATTAAATCATCGTTATAGGGAAAATAAAAACAATATAGGTCTTTTATTTGAATAAAAATTTAAAAATATACATAATAAATATATTTAAATTAGAGATGTTCACAGTTTGATTCGTTATTTAACTAAAATTTACTCGAATTGAATAATAAAAATATATGAGATTTAGTTCGAGTTAATTTTTTATTTTTTATAATATTTGAACCAAACCAAAACGAACTAATAATTTGTTGTTTGGTTTAATTTGTTTTTGCTTTTTTATTTACAATTATAATTACATAACACTACACAAAGTCACAAACTATCAAATAATACTACATTGTATTAAATATCATAATTATGTTTTAACCATTATAATATTATACATTCTAAATAATATTATTTATGTACATAAATGTACACTTCTAAAACATTTCTTAATATATATTGTCGCCTTTTGTTGGCTAATCAAAAACAAATTATACAATCTAAATAAAATAAAATTATATTTTAAATAACAACAAATTAATGTTCTATGTAGAAAATTAAAATGAAAACAACATCAAATAATATTACATTGTATTAAATGTCATAATTATGTCTCAACCATTAAAATATTATATGTTCTAAATCAAATAAAATTATCTTTCAAATAACAACAAATTAATGTTCTACATAAAAAATTATAATGATAACAATAAAAATAACATATTTCAATAAATTATTTAGGAGCTTCTAATTCATGCTAAATCCTACAAAATTAGAGTAAAAAATATTATTTAATTTATAGTTTAAATATAAATACCAAACATATAAAAATAAAATAATTAATTAAGTGATGAATCATATCATAAGTTCAAGTTTTCAATTCCAAGTGCAAAATCTAATCAGATTCAATTTCAGAATTCTTTTCATCAATTGTTGGATTTGGTCCAATTTCCAAAAGTATATAATATATAATAGTCAACATCAATGGAAAAATTAGGCTAGAACAATTAAATAACAAGAGATTAAAATATAACATATTACTCATCTCAAGTCTTTAAATGTTTACCACGAGGTCTTCAATGTCCATTGACCATAAAAGAGATCGACACTAATTTTGTGTACAACCAATGCTTCGGTTGTCTTAAGAGTAAGAGAACTCCTATAAGAATTAAGTATTCTCCCTCAGGTGCTGAAAGAAAACTCTAAAGCAATAGTAGACACAGGCATGGCCAACAAATCTCTAGCAATTTGACTAAGAATAGGATATTTACTATATTTCAATTTCCACCACATTAAGATGTCAAAAGTATCACTTTTCTTTTCTAATCTCTCCATGAGATACAAATCTACTTCATTCTTCCCAGGATTGCTATTAAGATTCATGTCTCTTTCAAATTCAATAGCAAATGAAAGTTCAGGTGAATCAAAATCATCAATTCCCACATCAGAAGAAAGACGTGTAGCAGTTTCAGTTAACTGCCCATTACTAGTAGAAAGCAAATACACATTAAACATATCATGCAATGCCTCATTCACCTTATTACACAAAATTTCACCAATGTATTTCTCGTAAAATTTGTGTGAATCCCATTGAACAAACTTAAACTTAATATGAGGACCAAGCACACTAGCAACAAAAATCAAAATATTCATATTTTTAACATTTTCTCGATATTTATCATACTTAGCTTTCATTTTCTCAACCATACTTCCAAATAATGGATCATAAGTCTTTTTCCATTTCTGAAATTCTTATAATATCTTGCAATGTTCATTGAAATATTGAGAAGATGTTACAAAATCTGTCCCTAAAATAATTTGAGTGACATCAAAAAAATATTTTCAAAAACCTAACAAAACATCTTGCATTATCTCAATCCTCGTCATTTGGAACACCACCACTCATCATCACATATTTAGCACATCTCTCACTTAATCTCTTAAATGCTTTTTTAATTTTTAGTGCACTTTCAAGCATTATATAGATAGAGTTCCCACCTAGTAGAGACATCCAACTACACAATAGATTTGTCGACTATCCTAGCTTCCTTAATGCAAATTTTGAATCTATCAATGCAACCAGGTGATGCATGAACATACCTAACAACATTCCTAATTATGCTTATTAATTCATGATAGTCCTTTAATCCATCATTAACCACCATATTTAAAATATGCGCACAACATCTAACATACAAGTGTTTTCTTTTAATGGGTGTGTATTCCAGTCTTCCATTATACCTTTCAAATAAGATATTGCTAAGTCACTTGCACTAGCATGGTAGCATTGTCTACACTGATGCTGAAAACTCTACCAATTAGCCAACCTTCCAAACATTTCTCAATTTTTCTACCAATTGTTCCCCTTTTGTGATTAGTAATTGGACAAAAATTGAGATTTCTTATGTAATTTTTAGTTATCATCAATGAAATGAGCAGTCAAACAAATATAACTCAAAATTTGAACAAATGTCCAACAATCAGTTGTAAGACTTACACCCTAATTTGAGCGAGTAAACATATTCTTCAACTTATTTTTTTCATTAGTGTAAGGATTCCAACATTCACTAGCTATTGTAATTATTCCTGGAATAGGGATTCTAGGTTGCAATTGGCTAATAAAAAAACGAAATCTCTCTCCCTCAACAAACTTAAATGGCAACTCATCAACAATTAAAGCTAGCAAAAATACACATAGAAGGGGGGTTGAATGTGTGTGTTTATGTTCGAAGAAAGATTTTTTAAAGTTGCTTTGCAAAGATATTTTTAAGTAGAGTGTTTAATCACAATTGCAAACTTGTGCAAGCTTTTATGACTAAGTTTTTTTTTTGTCTAACAAGGCTGATCTTCTACTTCAAGAAACAAGTTGAGTAAATTTGTTTTTTGTCTAAAAGGTTTTATCGTCCAATAAAAAATGAATTGTTTTTTTTAAACAAAATGATCAAGTGTGTTTTCGTATAACAGTTTGTTGAAAAGAAAGTGGATGAAAAACGAAGTAGTGTTTGAAAAATAAAGAATATGCACAAATGTTTATACTGGTTCACTCAATCTGAGCTACGTCTAGTCTCTTTCAACCAAAGGGTTCCACTAATCACTGAGGATTACAAGTATTCTCAACCACTTCTGGCTCATCAACCTCACTTATTGACGCTAGTATTCTTCACCACTTTTGGTTCTCTAAGTATTCTTGACCACTTCTAACCCGCTAGCTTCACTTACTAGCGCTAGTATTCTCAACCACTTATGGTTCACAAGTATTCTTCCTATCAGCCTCTTCAGGCTTTACAGCAATGAGAGTGTTGAGTGTGTTTGCAGCTCTCATAGAGAGGATAACGTAATTTCTACACTCACTAAGGTGCGTAACCTTAGTTTTACAGGAATAAGTGTCTAAGTGTTGTATTTACTCTTGTAACGAGGATAGGATATTAACAACACTTACTAAGATGGGCTATCTTAGTTTTTACACATATATACATGAAATGCTTTGAGAAGAAATGCAGTTTATACTCTTTCGCTTTCTTTCTCTTATTGCACGTTTTCTCTGCTCTTCTATTTTTTTTGCCTTGATACTTATAGCTATTTTGGTGAATCTGCCCGTTGTTCGGATTAAAATTTTTCCGTTGGAGCGAAGCTTTATGTCGTTGCAGATGGAGGCTTGTTCACGATAATGTAAATCTTTTCA